GTAATTCATAGGGCCTCATAAGGTTTACTACTTAAAGATGCTCTTGGTGAACACTCAACTATTCCTGGAAGAAGAAAAGTAAATCTAAAAGGATTACGAGATTTATGGGAAAGTTGAAAAAAGCAAAACAAAACCCTCCATGTAAGTTCCCTGTTGTCTAAATAAGCAACATAGCCACCACTCTACGTAAATTCTAACTGACCCAGAACTAAGATTCTAGACAGGTGGGCAGGTGGGAGGGAAGAAAGAGGAACAGGGAGGAAGAGACAAGAGAAAGGTGTGGCTCTGGAGGGGAACACACAGACCTGACATGCCTGAGACACTCACAGGAAAAATAAAGGAAGGAGCAACACAGAAGAATAAAAATAAAACACATGCATTCAAACTTGCAGAGAAAACTTGAGCCTTCTAAAAGAAGGCAAGAAAGGATGGGGAAAAGAATGAAGTAAACTAAAAATTAGATGGCAACACTAAATCCCCCAATACAATAGCAATTTAATTACAAGAAACAAATAAATAGGTCAACATTCAAAAGAGACCCTCTAGATTAAAAAAGAAAAAGAAAAAAACCCCTACTATGTTGTCCACAAGGGATTCACTAGGAAAGGATACAGGAAGGACTGAAATAAAGAGATGGAAAAACAGTAGGCAAATATGGAGGGGGAAAATGTCTCTTGACTTTTAATGCAGTTTTGATAGAGAAAAAAAAAACATTCTGATAAAATGAATAATTGATCAATAAGACATAATTTTTATGAACATATATACCCCTGGATATAAAGCTTACAAATGTAAAATGCAGTAATTGGTGAAACTATAGGGAGAAATAGACAAATCAACAAATAACACATCCTGGACAGAAACTGGTACTAAGCAAAGATATGAAAGACTTGAATAACACAACAAGCTTGAATGAATAAATACATACAGAACTTTTCACTCAATGGTGAAGTCTTTTCCAACATACAGAGAACATTTGTAAAAACAGATGAAGCTTCAGAGTAAGCCTAAACAAACCTCAGTGAATCAGTGTACTCTTCCAATAATGCAAAACAAAAAGAAAATTAGAATCCTGAAACATAAGTATGACTTGAAAAAAAGTCTTGTCTAACCCTAAGTCTAAGCTGACTCAATGGACTACAAACAAAAGCACACAAAATAACCTTTGGCTACTGAAATCATCAACTTAGAGATGAATGACCAAGCACTATGTATCAAAATTTTAAGAGTTAAATGATACTAAGAGAGAACATGATAGCTTTAAATTCACTTATTGGAAAGCAGAGAAAGATGAAAACAAACAAAGCAAGTATTAAAAGTAAACCCAAAGATGGAAGGAAGGAATAATAAAGGGCAGACAGAGAATGAAAATACAACAGAACAATTAAAAATAAAAACATATTGAGGAAAATTAGTAATGTAGACAAACATCTAGCGAGTCTGATAAAAAAAAGGGGTGGTGAAAATAAAAATTTAGAATGAGAATAAAATTACACAAAATAGTTTAAACAAGAAAGGACTATAAACAACTCCATGCATATGATTTTGAAAACTTAGGCAAAATGGGCAAATTTCTGCCAAAACTGGCACAGTTTTGACCCTCCAAAATAGTTCAATAATTGTGAAAAAATTTAAATGGTAATCCCAGGCCTAGACAATTTTATGGGGAATAATAGGCTTTCAAGAAAAGATAATCCCTCACTTGTTATTTCTGACATTAGAAAAAGAAGGTGCTCCAGAGAAGAAAAGTAATAAGTAATGACTACGGTATCTTACTATGCTGACAGATAGTGACTGCAATGGGGTGGGGTGGGGTGGGGCACTTGATAATATGGGTGAACGTTGAAACCACAAAGAAGTTGCTCATGTGAAACCTTCATAAGACTGTATATCAATGATACCTTAATAAAACAAAAAAAAAAGAAGAAAAAGAAGGTGTTCAAATCATCTTATGAGACTAACTTACCTTGATTCCAAACAAATAAAAATAGTACAAGAAAATAATGTATGGGTCCCTTGTTCACTTATGAATACAGATTACAAACTTCAATATAATACTGACCCAACTGATTCCAGAAGGGTGTTTAAAAAGAATAAATTGTGATCAATTAAGATTTATCCAAGGAATACAAGGATGGTTATATGTGAGAAAAGCTAACATTACAATGTACTACATTAATGGTCTAAAGGAGACAAATCACATGATTATCTCAGACTCAGAAAAAGCACATTTAAAAAAATTAGAAACTTAGCAAGAGAGGAGAGACTCCTTCACGTGACAAAGATGTGTAGGAAGCATCATATTTAAGGAGGAAACTACAAAAGCATTCCCTTTAAACTCTGGTACAATACAAGGATGCCACCACCATCACTTGTTTAACATCAGCCTAGGGAGCTTGGTTATAGGAGAGGAGAAAGATAAGACACAAGGATTGGAAGAGAAGTAACAAGAACATTATTTCTTTGCAGATAATACTAACACTAACAGAACCACTATGAGGATTCAACACGGTTGCTGAATATCAGATCATTTAATACCAAGACCTTGTGCTCAGAGAGAGCTAGTTCTCTTCTTCAATTTGAGATTCCGTAACTTTTTGGGCATCAATTTTAACGCTCCATTTTTTTTCAAGACCATTTTTCTTCTTTCTATTGTCTACTGGCAAATGTTCCCCACAGCTCAGTCTTTTGCTGTTAGCCCTATTTACATACTTTAAAAAAATCTGATGAAGCTCCCTCTGTCTCCAGGCTTGCCTTCATATCCTGTTCTAGCTCCACAGTTCTCGGTCCAGTGTTCTCTCAAATTCCGATTCATCATACCCACCACCCTCTCCTGAAACCAACATTCACCCTGCCAACTCCTCCTTGTCAACTAGATTAGTGTCATTATCACCATTCTCAATGTCATCTAGGCATGAAATATTTATTTGTATTTGTCCTTTCCTAAGACAGTGGGCATTCAATGAATGTTGAATCAAAGGCCTGCCAATGTTTTCTGTCTTTCCTTCTTAGTGCCTCTGGCTTAATCCAAAGCCCCATTCCGTTTGCTTATCAGATCAGTACAGCAGTGTGCTACATTCTTCTAGGCAGTGAGGGTTCCATTCAAGTAGACCACGTGTTGGCCGTTTTTTGTAAAGCTTAACGTGTAACTCTGCTGTTATAATGTGTAAGTAGCTACACAACAATCCATAACTGTGTGTTGCTAAGACATTATTTACAAAAGCAAGTGGAAGGCTAAATCTGGTCCGTGGGCCATAGTTTGCGGACGTCTGAAGTAGACTATGAACTTTTTTTCAATTCAAAACTTTTCTTTTCCCTGCTTACTCAATATAGAATCCAATTATCTGGGTAAAAGAAAATCTAATTTACTTTTTTACATATAACACTGGTTGCCAGCTAGAAATTAAAATTAATTATACTTAGGTATGCTGCTCATTACTTTCAGGACCTTATTTTTCCTTTAAATTTATGGACCTTGTAAGAGTAATTTACTGGAAATTACATCAACAGTACTGTAAAGGCTTTGATCTAAGCAGGACAAATCGGAAGGGTTGGCAGCCAAGTAATCTTCCTATCTTTTATGGAAGAATATATCAAGAATGATAGAAGCTGCCAATAAAATATTTTCATTCAATGAAGCAGATTAAGATGACATTGATGGGCTTTCGATTTCAGTAAGCGGGAAAGGCCCAGAATTCTGCTAGCTATAGGAAAAAATAGCAACTTGTCCCCTCTAGACCTTGAGATAAAACTTGATTATAAAGAAGGTATGACAGAAACACTGCAGATGGGCAGCTCAGAAGCATCCTATTTTAGCCTTTGAGCAGTCGTTCGTTTTCCCATACTGAAATGGGATATGAACTTCCCCAAGTTAACTCTACTTATCTCTCCATTGGCTAACTTTCTCTCCTTCACTTGCCTTCCTTTACAAACATGGGAAGAACCAGGATTTATGCAATGGACAAGAAATTCTTTACTAGTACCTAACATGGAATAAATAATGCATTTAAAACAATGTTTATATACTTAGCTTCTTGCCAAATATGACTGTTAATGAATGGCCAACTCAAAATCTTCCAAGTGCTCCCCTCCACACATTAAAGCCAAAGCCAAATGTCTCATCATGGCCTGCAGCGTCCTGCCTGACCTGGCCTCTGCTAAGCCCCTGGACCTCCCTGTTGACTGCAGGCAGTATGCTGCAGTCACACAGCCTTCTCCGCTCTAGATATGCCCAGGGGGTTCTTGCTTCAGGAGCTCTTCATCTCCAGGTCCCCAAAATGCTTTGCCCTCACAGCTCTACATGGCTCATTTCTTCAGGTCTCAGTTCTGATGAGAGCTCCCCCAGAAGCTTTCTCAGACCATCCAATCTGATCTAGTCTCTATCGCTCTATAAACAACCCTGCTTTGCTGTTTTCAGTACTTGTACTACCATCTGAGATTACTCTATACATTTATTCACTTATTTCCTGCACATCATCCTCCCCCCATACATACATCAACTGAATGTAGATCCATGAGCAAGGACTTTGCCTGTGGGTCACCACTGACTCTCAACACCTAAATTGGTGCTTAACACACAGTAGGTCCTTAGTAAATGTTAAACAATATTTGACGAGTAAACACGTAACCATCACTATTTCACATCAGGCTATGCTTACTGGAAGTGGCAATGGCAACAAAGCGCAGAATCCTAGAGGTTAAAGTAAAGGCAACGGGATCTAGAGAGGAATCTGTAATCCTCAGTGCTGGAACATGAAAAATCTATAGGACACAAAGTTTCAGTTAAGCAGGATAAATAAGCTCTAGAGATCTGCTGTACAACATGTACCTATAGTGAACAATAACGTATACTTAAGAAGTTATTAAGAGTTGATCTTATATTAAGCACTTACTACAATAAAATGCAGTGCACCTGGAAACAGCTGATGATACTCTGGATACACTGTGAATCTGGGTTAAGTAACTAAAAAGCTGAGTCGTTCAAAGAGAATTAGAATTACCTGGGGGTGTGTGGTAAGCAAGGAGGATCCAGAGACGTAAGACACTTTTTCGTAATGGGACTGGATGATCCAGTTGGAGCTCCCAAGGGCGTAGCCAGAGCTCAGCGGAGTTACCTGGACGGCTCCGAAAAGCTCCTAGGAAAGGACCACAGGAAGAACGCGGGATCAGTTTTCAGCGATGCAGTCACTCCAGATGAGTTTTTGCAGGAAAATGTAACAGACATGTCCTTCTCCACTTACAAATAGAAAGTATTCTAAAGTAAACCAGAAAGTTTAAAGTAAAACGGAATGGTGATGGAGACCTTCTGGTGGACACAGTCAGCAGTTCTCTAGTCTTTACTTGCCGCCTCTCTGGGAGTCTGAGCCTATCCACACCTTGCCGGGCAGCCCGGCCTCCAGCGCTAAAATGCAGAGTTGATATATTACCAAAGGGCCCAGTCAGTCAGACACTTGTTTTTTTTTTTTCCAGGTTAGGTGTTAATCTCTTGGTCCTGTACTGACTAGCTCTGGGCACTAGTTAACAGAAATGGGAACCCTTATTATCAGATCAGAGCTCAAAAGTTATGCTTGCCAAATTGCTTCTTGGTCTCTTTTATGTTCTGTTTCCTATCTCACTTGTCCCAGATCTGTAGTGTCCACTGTTCAAAAGTGAATAGGATGAGATGCCTTTCTCCTGACTCATGACATGCTGGCCAGTAGAATGCTGGCTACTGACTGGGAATGTGAAAAGCTCAGCAACTGGAACAATAGGTGTGTCTAGAAGTGAGGTTGAAGGTGAGCCTAAAAACAACAGGATTTGTTGAAAAACCTGGTTAAGAACCAGTAAGAACCTGGGAGGATGAAGAAAAATGACAGATAGTACAAGATTCCTAGTGACTAAGTGGCTTAAAAAAGGAAACTATAAGATTCTTCCAGAGTAACTATGAATCAAAAGCATTCATGAATCCCTTAAAATAATATTAACACTCACAATTTTCTGGGAGTATCCCACCAGCTGGATTTTACTAAGGGCAGAGTTCACCTCTTGCATTGTATAACATCTTCTCCAGGTTGACACTTCCACTGCATCCTTGAGAGGAGAAGGCAGCAGCCTATAAATAGATCACAATACCATTTCTTTATGTTATAGAGTAATTTGTCCATTTTATCTAAGTTGTCCGACTTCTTGACATATAATTGTTTTAGGATTCCTTTATAATTGTTTTTATTTTTGTAAGGTTGGTAGTATTGTTGCTTCTTTCACTTCTGATTCTAATAATTTGATATTCTCTTTTCAATCTAGGTAAAGGTTTTGTTCAGTTTGGTTGATATTTTCAAATAACCAAACTTTGGTTTCATATTCTGTTGTTTTTCTATCCTCTATTCTGTTTATCCAGCACATAGGAGGCTACTGTTTTCTTTTTTTATCCAGTCTGATTATCTCTGCCATTTGACTGGATTGTTTAATCCATTTATGTTTAATATTATTATTGATATAGTTGGATTACACCTACCAATTTACTTTTTGTTTTCTATATGTCTAATATCTCTTTTGTTCCTCTGTTCCCCCTTTACTATTTTTTTTTTTTGGTACTAAGTGAGTATTTTCTGATGTAGTCTTTTAATTTCATAACACACAGGCACAGCAGACACATCCCATGAAGAGGCTTTCGTTGTTCAGTGGTGGGACAATCTGAGTTGCAAAAAAGACAATACTGCCACGGATTGAACAGTACATGGTTCAGAGTGGGCTGTGACTGGATTGGGGAACAGGGAGGGGCTTCTGAATTACTGGAAGTTTTCTATTTTCTGACGCCAGTGGTAGTTATAAAGATGGCTGCTTTTTAATAATTTAGTAACTACATATTAGTTTTGCATGTTTTTTGGTACCTGTGTTTTAAATTATAGTAAAAAAGGTTAGCTTCAAAAATAGAAAAACTTATGCCAAAATATGAAATGTGTGCTATCTTTTCTTCCTTTTAACCTTTACTTGGTCTTATTTCTACATAACTGTTAAGTGTTCACTACCAGCCAAAATATTGATATTTCTATAGTCATTTTGGTGGTCTGAAATTCATTCTTCAGAAATGAAAAACTTATAGATAGGTTAGGAAATAAAGGTTAGAGAATTTCCCAGGCAAAACAAAAACAACAAAATGGAAAAGGAGAAAAAAAATTGAGTTCCAGGCCAGGAGTTTTGACATCTAAGTAACCAGAGTTGCAGAAAGAACACAAAAAATGAGAGGAAATTAAAAAAATAAATAAATAAAAGAATTTTTTTTTTTAACCAGCACTCAAGCTTTCTAAACGGAAAATTGCTAAGGACCACAGCAAATGAGTAATTTTATATATACATGTTCCATTTACATTAATAATATATATGATATTCAGTTCATGTTAATTCCCCACCTCCCTCTCCCTTATGCTTAAATTCCTTGGGTATCTTATTTGGGTACCTTAAATAATGACTACACTGTTTTTCAAATCTAAAACTATTTAATTATTTGTCATTTCTCTATTTCAAAATGTCTAAAGGTTTCCTTTCTCATCTATGTTGGGTAACTATATTTTCACAAATTAACAATTTTGGTAAATTTTCTCTCAGCTAGACAAAAGATTTAAACTAGGAATTAGTCAAATGTACTGTTGGCTTTTTCAAAGGTACAATGTTTCAGTATTGTTTTGTACAATGTCAACTTGCAACTCTTCTCTCCTTCTGGTGTGCACTGGCTGATTTTAACCAAGCAGGTCAGCACTCAATTATGCTCTGTTGCCATAATCTTGCCCATACTGTTTCCTTATCCAGGAATGATCCCTTCCCTCATTCAAACCCTACCTAGCTTGCCAAGCCCAGCCTAAGTCTTGCCACTTCGTATGCAGTCTGCACAAGTTCCTTGGGCTCAGGAACTATGTCTTAAACTATTGAGGCCTTTCCCTACAAACTTCTCATAATGCCAGCCACTTGAAAGTTAACAAAAAAATCTGAAGTCCTCTGAATTCCATATTTATACCCACAAATTCCTCTTGCTAACATCCTTTTTCCCCCCCTTTTGAGATATTCAGTCACTGTCATTACTTCCCTGTTTAGTAATATCCTGTCTAACTCCGCTTTCTCTACAAGTCGCCTTATGCTTACCTGAGGCCGTAATCAGAGAGGCGTTTATTGAGCCATTCAAAGCCATTAGGATTATTGGTTGATTTAGGATAAGTCAAACAAGGGTACTAGTTGTGTTTTTTTTGCATAATTTATCGAAGTCAAGTTCTCAGAGTCTAAATGTTTAAGTACTTTCTGAAAGATTTCATTGTTTTGCTGTGTTCTTATCATAATTGAGTACTTAACAAATTTTCCCCCAGTGACTTGACATCATGCAGGCGCTCTGCCGTTTCTTCTTCCGTCCTACCGGCACAAGATCATGTGTTTTTGTTAAAGAGAAAGGCCTTTAAGTCCACAGGGATCACTTAAAAGCTTATAAATAAAGCATTGGTCGGGCTTTTTTCTAAGTGTCTGCTGAATGAATGAACAAACAAAATGAATGTAAGAGCAGAACATAAAGAGTGCAAGAAGCAGAAAAGGTTTTTCCTCTCATTAACAAATGTAAGCCTGAAATACATGTGAACAGGGTGGAGTGCAGCTGTGTCAGCAGTGACGACCTCTGTGGGGTTTAGCAAAAGTGGAGCCTGAAAATCAAGCATTCTTCAATCTTACCTGAAATGAGACTGTAATCCCTGATTTTGTTTTAGATCAATTTATCTCTAAAAGGGACAAAGGCAATGGCTTAGGCTACCGAAGCAAGATAGAAACAACTCTTAAGAGGACCTAAACTATCTCTGCTTTAATTCTATGCTCATCAAAAAAACTCTTATCTGTAATTTGATCTCTTAAGTGGACTTGCTGTCCAGAACAGAGTGTCTTAGACAGATGAGCCATTCCAGTTCTGGAGCCAGGCAGAATCTCAGAATAAAGCGATTAAGTGGGATTTTTGTTTGTCAGTCGATATCCTGGAGTTTAGTTAGCATCAATCAGTCCTTCAGAGGCTAATCAACTCTGAGTGAAATGAAATGATTAGGTTTCTGGAAACTGCAAAGCTGAAGCACAAGCTGCGATACTCCCTCAAAGTACTGCCACTCTGTGAGCACAGGCTTAAGGAGCCTCTCCCTTGGAGAGCTGCAAGACCTGTAATATAAGTGAACTTGGAGGTAACATAATTCAATTTTCTTATTTTGAAGAGAAGGAGACTGAGTCCCAGAATGAATGACAGAGCTAACTAACTAGAGGCAACCGTGGGACTGTTGGTTTTCCTTCTACTACATACTTTGCTTTCATCAGGAAAGGTCATATCCATGGATAAGCTAGGCACTGGAAAGCAGATGTGTGCTAGTTGCTGGAAGGGCGGTGGCATAAGTATCATTAAAGGGGAAAAGGATGCTGGTGTTTACTGACCACCAACAATGTACCTGGCACTATTTTAAGGTCTCTCATTACTCATTTATTCCTCACAGCAACCTTTGCAGTTCCTAATATTATTCCTGTTTTATAAATGAGAAAACAGAGACTAGAATAAATATACTGCTGCAGCTACCAAGAGGCAGATCTGAGATTCAAACACTAGTCTGACCACCAAGCCCATAACTTTACTTTCTTTCTGCTATACAGTGGGACCTTGGTCAGTGCCTGCGGAGTGTCAGCACAGAGGGACTTCAAGCACAGCAGGCCTTTTTCTTAAGGTATAAGCCCACATTTTAAGCTCCGAGTACTGGAAATTGTCTTAACATTTCAGTCAGGAACATGTCAATGCATACCTTCTTAATGCATGTGAGAGGGTTATGACAGTATCCTGTAATGATTTATTCTTAATTATAATGGTAGATCACTAGTCTTACACAAAACATGCTAGCCTTACACAAAAAATATTAGTTGCTGGGTTAGTTTCTTACATGGAATATTTTGCTTTAAATTTTCTCATTAAAAAAACCTAAGCTCTGAAGCTCTGAAGCTTCTGAAGCTCTGAAGTGTGGAAAGCCTGAGACTCCAAAATTATATTGCAAGGGATTCTCCCTTTCCTACCCTTCAAAATCTCTTTTTCAAGGCGAACTGCAATGTCAAAATGAGGAAGAAAGATGACTAGCTTCTAAATAAATCTCAAGGAGTGGTGTCAACTGAGGCAGAGACTCAAGACACCCGCCGAAAAGTGAGAGCAATAGTTTTTTTGGGGCATACATACTAATACTAAATCAAATGCTAATTCAAACTAACTTCAAATGATTTAAGGGCATTTGTCAGATTCCTTTGATCTATGAGTTTGAAATACTTTATCATTTTCTTTAGTTGGTGGTCTTATTAGTAACTTAATGCTCCTAAGATGCACTAATTCTAGGCACTCAACAAGAGACTGCTTGAATAAGGTTTAAGCATAAGTCAAAAACTTAGACTTAAGTATAAATATATACATATTATATATACTTGGGATCTTAAGCCTCAAATCCAACCCAATGAGGTGTTTTGCCTGGATCATACAGGATTTTATTTAAATGTATGAGCCAACATTTTTAAAAGATGAAAAGAAACACATACCAAATATCCAGGTTACAAGCTTCTCTTTAACAAAAAAGAGAAGGAAATTTGGCAGCCATGGGCTCATGTCCCCACAGCCACAATCTGCTGAGGCTGGGGTGGGCTGCCCCTTTTGGGGCTGCGGTTGGTCACCAGACCACATTTCCCAGCAGCCCGCCATACCCACCTCACTCCTGCATCCCTTTCCCATCCCTGGAGGCATCTGAGTTTGTGGCACCTACTTTAGAGGAACTGGACAAGGAGTGCAGGAATTAAAAAAAAAACAACAATAAAAACGATAAAGAGAAGAAGACACAGCCCATACTGCTTAGGAAAAATGTCAATGTATTAGACAGCAAAAAACAGTGTTTCTTAGTACAGTATGCCACAGTACCTTGGGACACTAGAAATCAACTGACTTGTGATAGAGATTTTGAAGTGACATAAATCTTTCAGTATAAATGTTGTTCCATGCGGTACTTTAAGTATTCCAGCCTAAGGTTGTTCAATTCTAGGGGAATATTTCCAGAGAACTCTTTTATCTGATGTCAGTTATGAAACAGCTCTTCAAATTCTCCTACCACTTCTAATATTCATGCTGAGTTTATCCAGGAGAACAAGAGGACACAGCTCTCCTGGTCTGTCTGACACTTCGGCATATTCTTACCAATACTTAGGCTCTTCTCTTTCTCTGTCACTAACTATGGTTCATCTTGTGCTCAAAAGCCAAAACAAAATGCCTGACCAGAAAACAAAAGACCCGATCACAGCACTATGGTCATGATAAATTTAATAAATGAGATAAGGTTTGTATGACATAAATGAGATAAGGCCCATGTGGAATCAATGAGATAAGGCCTCCAATCGTGCAAGTTATGCTTGTTGCCCCTCCACCAAGCTAGCTTTCAACAGTTTCTGATTTTTGCCCACCAGGTGGCAAGACAGCAAATTCAAGGTTTTATTTCAACTCGCACTTTTTTTTAAAAAGGGAAATTTCTTAAGCATCTTATGAAATAACTTTCAGGGCTTCTCCCTAACCTTCTGCTCCTTCCAGTTCAATTCACTCTCCTCACTACCCAAGACGGCACTTTTGTGAGTCAGTCATTTGTTATTTTGTGCATTTTACAAAGAAAGGGAGGCAAAGGAAAATTGCCAAGGACTCTGCCCAAGGTCACAGAAGAAAAGGCAAAATGAGGACTTGGGACTTCCTAAGACTTGGCACAGGGCTTGGGAGTCAGGAAACAGCAACCTTTGAACATTTCTGGTGTGCCAAAATTATCTGAGCCCGAATATTATAAAGGACATAAATTTAAAAGGAGGAAGTAACGGAAGCCAAGGTGTACATGTTCCACAGGGACAGAAAACAATGTCCCATGGCTCCCAAGCAGGGAGATGGAGGCACAGGGTCTGATGTGGCCTAGGGCACACGGGAGGGACAAGAAAAGGGGAAGGAGGCAGAGTGACGGGCCGGAGGAAAGGGAGTGTGGCGGAAGAACACAGAATGAGGAGGGGCCCTGTACTAAGCGCGTGGGCGCTCAGGTCCAGAAAGCCATTCCTGTCCAGACAGAAGGCCCAGACGCGTGCATGTCCAGAAAATATTTCCTGATGTGAAGCCGTACAGACATCGGATCCGCAGTCGAGGAACGAGTGACATAAAGAGGATTCATAAAGCACGGGAGAACACACAGTTAAACATACTCCTCCTGCTCACACGAGAAGGGGCTTCTAGGCATGCGGGGAGAGGCAGGTGTGGGCTTGGGGGCGGCCGGGAAAGGGGCTAAGGGCACGGGCTCTGGAGCCCAGCAGCCCCACTGCATGGGTCTGAATCCAAATCCTACTGCTCAGGAGTTGGCCGACCTTGAGCCACTTACTTAACCTCTCTGTGCCTGCTTCTCTTCTGTAAGATGATAATGTTAAAAAATTAAATGAATTAAATAAAACATTGAGTAAAGTGTCTGGCACACAGCAAGTGTTACCTAAGTAAAATAAATCACATGTATACAAAGGACTGTGTAGAGGAGACTCGCATGCTCAAACTCAGAGACAGTTACAGTATAAAAACAAAGCATATTCTCTGAGCTACACATTCATATTCTTGTAGAAACAATATTCACAAAAACGAAGACATTTTGAAGTTTAGATAACCACACGGCTAACAGATCACTGGCCAGAGGGAAAGAGAACCCAGCAACAAGGTGGCTGAAAAAGGGCAGACTCGGGCAAGAGACACGCAACACGCACCATCTAAGAAGTCACAGGGTGGGTTTTGACTCCAGGCTCTGGATGCTACACCTGGAAAGTTCTGGATGCTAGGCGTGGACAGTTGGGACTCCTGTGGTGCCTGGAGGTGAGGGCAGCAGTTAGTAGATTAAAGAGACTGCAGAAGAGTGACTGGTGTCCTCAGCTGCCAAATAAATGGGAGAGCCTGGGAGCAGAGTCAAACTGCCTCCTGGCCTGTTCTGTTACAGTTCAACTTACTTCAGACCTTAAAATCTGTTTTCTGATCCTAGCCCTCTCCGGACACTAACCTCCCTGGGATTTCTGTAGCCAAGGGCCTCACCTCCATCCTATGTGATGGTATTTCTGCAGCACCGGATGCCACTGACAAGCCTGGGATTCAGGAAGCTTCCTTTTCTCTGTGGCTTCCACTATGGTTCCCCTCTTACCTTCCTAATTATGACATCACAGCCTCTTTCACAATTTTTACCAAATCTTTTCAGTTTTATCTCAAAAATTTCTGTTAAGTTTGACCCTTCATGCTCATTATGAGGCCTCAGTTCAGGCCTTTGTTCTCTGCCCTGGGTTTCTGGCACAGCCCTACCCCTGGTCCGCCTGCCTGAATTTCTACACCTACTTTCAGAGTTACTTTCCCCAAGCAAATACGTGATCACACCATTCTCCTCTTTATAAGCCTCCCACTTTCAATAATATAAAAGCCAAACTTGACACTTAGAAGCTTCACTGCTCCAGTGGAATGTTGTAGATCACTGGCCACCTCTCTCCTCACTCACTCCAATCCACTCTGAACTTCTCTCTGCTCCTGGAACATATATATCCTGCAACACTGTGCCCAGACCTGACTTTCTGACCTTTTTTTATCTGGAAAAGTCCTCTTCTTCCTCCAACACCTGCCTTAACTGTCATCTCCTAAGGACTGTCCCCAGCTTCCCTGCGGAGTGAGCTCTTCATTTCTGAGTGCCTACAGCACTGTGGTCAAGCATCTCTTATAATACGTGCCATCCAGGGTTGTGATACACCTGTTTAACTGTCTGATTTCCCCTTAACCCATGGGCGCTGCCATGATAGAGCCAACTGTTTTCCTAACTCCCAAACCTAGCACAGGACCCTTCACGCGACATTGTTGCCTCTCACAATATGTTGGTTGAGTCAAACAACCCTTTCATAAAACAGGTAAAAGAGAATCTTTAGCTCTAACAGTATACATGTTTAAGCATAAAACAAGTAAACAAACGAGTGAGTGTGGCAAAGCCGGAGGCTCTGCTGTCCAGGGGACTCAACAGGCCTGCTGCTCACCGCTGAATGTCCTTGTTCTTCCACAAGGAGGCCGACTGAGCCTTGGGCACGCGTTCAATGAAATTCACCAGCTCTTCCATGAGAAGCCTGAGTTTAAACAAAAAAAAAAAGGGATGAACACTCCTAAGGAAATCAGAAAACACTGAACTCTTAACACTGTGAGAAACAGCTTGTCTGCTTTCAGCCTCTCAACCATCTTTCTCTCTGCTGCATATAAACTTGGGCACCACTTAACATAAAGCTGAACAAAAACCTAGCCATCTCACTGAATTTCCATGTTAAAAATTCAGAATGTAAATGATTTAAGTCACCTTTAAAACAAGGCTGAAATTATTAGCATTTGAATGCCGAACAACTTCATTCCATTTCCACTCATTTATTTATTCCTAATACCACCTCCTTTCATCTTGAAGGACTGGTACTAGTTCCGGCAAGTCAGGGTGTGGCATCCTTCTGTCTGCAGCTGCCCGGAGAATCGTCTGGTGTGTCCACACTCAAGCTTTAACTTGTTCAGACTGCAGTCCAGTGTTTTCAGCTTATCTTCTTGAAACTGATCATCTCGAGTGTTTTACTTTCCTATGTCTCTGCCTCTGATCCCTTATGTTTTTATGTACACGCTGCAGGTAATGTGATGACACAAAACAAGGACAAATTTTGTTTCATTTTTGCTGATTCCATCTTTTTGGTGGACTTCTGCAAGATACTAGAATCCAAAACTAAGAATCTATATTGACACCTAGATTCCTTATTTTGGGTCTTGATATTTCACCTTATGTCATACTTGTTAGTTTTCTTCAACACAATTCTTTTTCCTGGGGTAATTTCTTCATGATTGTTCTCACTAAATGATTCTATGGATACTTGAAGCGGCCACCTACCTCAAGAAGGTTTGGAGAGGGGAGGGAGAGTCGGTGGAGCATTCTCAGAGCGAGAGGAAGGCTCCGAGGTCTGTACTCCTTAGGGTCCTGAGTTTCACTCTGTCAAAAGTACAGCTAACTTAACCATCTAATTACTTACCTTGTTTCTTACAAGCTGTCTCCATTTATAGTCTGCACTAAGCTGCCCAAGAGGGAACATTCTGAAAGCAAGTAATGAAGTTTCTTTTCTCAAATATGCTATGTGCCTTTCTCCTGAAGCTCTTTGACCTCATTTTTGTGGCATCGTGCTCAACATGACCTCCCCTAATTATATCATCTGCACAGAGGCGCTGTCTTGGTGGACCCCTTCTTCCACTTTTTGTTAAAAGTAAAAAGGACTGATGAAGACTACTCATAGCATCAATCTCTAGGCAATTCCAGTGAACATCTGTTTTATCTAGAGAGTTGTCTATTCATGCCTGTTCTTTGGGACAGTTGCTCAGAAGCAAATAACTGCTCCTGACACTAACCAGTCAGCACTGAAGGAAGAATTTGTCCAGCCACCTTCCAGTGCGGTGAGATGAACATGTCTCACCTGCCGATCTGAACGGTGGGCTCTGTGGCATACACTGTGCCCGTGAACCCCGTGTGCTCGGTGATGTAGGGCAGCGCCATCATGCAGTGATAGTTAGAGATGAGGATCACATCTACCGTAGACAGATCTATCAGCTCGGTCTGAAAAGGAAGGAAGGGGAGGGAATGATATATACCTGTTCAGTGCACATAGATCAACATGATGGGCCTGAAAAACGATGTTGTCAGAATGCAGAGAAGTCGTTTCTGTACTACAGAATAATGATGTCTATCCTGCAACATTTCTATTCTCTCATTTTAGGGTATTTCCTGATATTGACATTAAGTAGGACAGGTGGCCAACAGCGAGGATGCAGCCAGTCTACCAGCTGCCATCCAATTTTATGAAGCCGAGCTCCGAGTTAGATGCATGAGGATAAATGGCAACAGGACACTTGGGCAGCTGGCTGCCTGGCACCGGCAAGTGAACCAGGCAACATGAAGCAGAAAAAGCACAATATAAGCTGTGTGGGGATCTAGAATGTAATGTACCACCACTACGGCTCACTGGGACACAGAGGGAGCAGCGGGTAGAAACCAGCTCATCAGACGTCACATGTGGAAGGCAATGTTTTTTGGGGTAACTTTTGACCACTAGTGCTGGACACAGAGCCAAAGAGAACCACAGTGACAGTGTCATCAGAGGAAATTACCCTCATATTCTATCCTAATCTCAACTCCAAGTCCACCCTTTACTCCATTAAGTCATGGAAAAAGGGAAAAGAGGTTGGCAGATAAGGGAAATCGCTATGAAATGCTAGTAAATGTTATGGAAACTCTTTCAGTAGAAGGGGATGTTTCCCCCTAAGTTCAGGCTCTACCTGTCGTTTAAGGCAGTTAGTTCTCTGCTTCCACTAAGCCTTCCTGATTTGCCCAGATGAAAACCACCTCGTCCTCAGAACTCCAAGGCACTTTATGTATGCCCCTCTTCTGGCAATTGTCATTCTGTACAACAGCACCCCAAACTGTCACTTTGTTCCTGAAATATTAAATGTGTCTGAGATGAAGCACCCAGTGTGCCTCTTCTCTGCCCCTCCCAGCTGTGGCAGCCAGTACGCAGCGGACCTTGGTGCACTGTCGATGAAGGGACGAACGCCTCGTTACAAGCGGCACCCTCTGTGAGGTGCTATGGCTCAGAGCCATCGCCTCAGGCACACAGCTCTCCCTCCAGGAAGTTCCCCTGGGAAATGGGATGGTGCCCTAGCACTGCATGGGGCAAAGTCAAGGAAGTGTTTTAGTTAAGAGACTGAGATGTTCCCCATGGAAAAGAAGTAACAGAGTCTGCACCATCCTTGCGAATGACAGACAGTGTGCCATTTGGCTGTGGGTATTTTCTGGTTGAATGACTTTACATATACAATAAGTTAGTTTAATAAAGCCACCAAGGCGTAATCAGCTCCTGAGGACCGCATGTAGATTAGAGGTCAGAAGCCGCTCACCGCTAGGGCAACAGCGATCTGCGTGAATGAAATGCCTAATGATAGTAACAGCCAAACTGACACCGCCCTTAGTCCATGCTGTGCGCTGCACTCCAGGGCAATATCCTCATAATGAAGAGTCCTGGAACATTCGGCTGGCCCCATTCCCTTCTCCCTCTCTAGAACCATTTTAAACAAATAAGGAAATTAAGACACAAGGGCAGGGTGAAAGATCCAGAAGAAAACAAGGGAACCATAGCTGAAGCAACAATAAAGCTCAAAACCATCTCCACTTCCCCTTTCACATATAGCAACTGGGCGAGAATATTTGAAACTTCTCTTTAACGTAAAATAATCAGCCCACAGAATCTAGTATGAGAAATTTTTTGAGGGCAGATGAGAAAAACCATATACACATATATTCTGTCTGCATATACATCAAGAGTGCCTACATAAACATTTTTACTCTGAGCAATAAATTTAACATCCAAATAATGCTTATACACTCCTATTTTAACTTTAAACTTATACACAATTGAGTGTGACAGATCATGAATTGGATCAAGCAACCATAGTTTATAGGTTGTTTATTTTACTGTCCTAGATCTTATACACAGTCTACGGTGTGGGCTGGGGGATACAAAGATATTTAAGGTAGCTGCACTGGATTGCAAACTCCATGAGGACTGGGGTTGTCTGCCTGGCTCACCCACAAGGCAGAAAGACTAGACTGTGCCTAAGTATCTCTGTCCTCATTCTATAACTCTCCCATTTCTCCAAATCATACGATGCCCTAGCTTTACCCTAAAATAGTGACTAACCTGACATAAACTATAATAAGTTATGACACAATGCAAGTTAAAAAACCTTATATGCCTCCAAAAAGCCTAAATACATCAATAATCCTTTAGCCCAGCAAGAGGTGTGAAACAGTAATTGCCTAATTTCAAAGTTCAGTACCCTGTGGGGCAAGGCAGGATGTCATCGGATCACCAACTCATAAATTCTACATTGCTGTCCATAAACTGAAGGTGTAGCAGTCAGGGTCCCATGTGGTAAATGGGCAGTAAGTGTAGCACCTGGGATTAGGCATCTCTGAACACATGGGGAACTGCCCACCCATTCTTAAATGACAAATGAAGATGACAAGAAGGCTTGAACAGCAGTTAGGAGTGCGGGATTCTTGGTCACTCCACCTTCACCTTTCTTACTACTTTATCTCAAACTTTTTCCTTTATTTGCCACCACCAATTACCATGTCCTTCTTTTTCTTCCTGTCTTTCCCTCCGCTACCCCAAAAGGGCATATACACGTACTTCAAAGAGCTGAAAAAACATTTACCTACAGGATCAAAGAAAGTGCTGAAATGGAGAGGAAGAGGGGACAGAAGGATGGGAAAAAGAGTGCCACCTCTGCTTTTCCCTTTAGCACCGAATGGTGAGAGCATTTCCTCCGTGCACTGCGACCTATCATGTGCATGGTGAGAACAGGGTGGTGGCTTCTCACTGATTTCCTCAGGAATGCTGGACGAGCCACTGCTACTGGACACCTCGTCTGTTGACAACACTATCCAGGTCACTCTGGGGATTAGGCCTGTCTGCTGAGATTAGTTTCATGTCAACTAATGGGAACTGATTTCATTTCCTTTAAAATGATGGGCCTGGTCCCCAACACTTCTAAGAAGGCTCCCTGTGGAGACAAAATGTAAGTGACGGAGATCCATGACTCAATTCAGAATTTATGAATTTCTAGCGATATTCGAGATGACATTTCAAGTCAGAAAGAAGTTTTAGTTTACTGAATTGGCTGAATAACAGTGACTGCCAATTACCCACCGTAAGCAAGAGTAGGAAAAGTATGGCTCATCCTAGACATGGGCACTTATAATAACAAAACCGAAAGGTTTGAGTTTTTTCTTTATCTTGCTCAAAACTATGCCCTCGTACAAATGTCAGAGGGGATTACAAGAAGAGCTAGGGATAGGAAGAAGAGTGTGACTTAAAATGACTTTCAGACAACATAAAAAGCTCCTAAATGATCGCATTTTAGCTGTATAACAATGTGGAATAACAGATTCATTTCTATTTGAAAACAGAAAGCTAAGCCTCTTAAAATTATTTCCTGACTTCACTTTGAGGTATGACAAGATATACTTTGTATCTATGATAAGAGTCACTTTAATCTTACCTCTGGTAGGCAGAATTCAGGCACAGAATCCACAAATACGTGACCTGAGCACTCCTTTAGCTCCTAGAAGAAAAGGAAAAATTCTAGGAAGAGATGTCCAATACATACAGCACCAAAGAAATTTCATCTCCAAACTAAACTTTCCATGAAGAATCACACATGGCTAGAGTTGGAGGGAAGCTAGAAAGTTTTTCCAGCCAACTGTTCCCTGTTAGGCTCAGGGAGGCTAAATTTCTGTTCAGGATAAAAATGGCTGGTTGGCTGACTCAGGATCTGAACGCACGTTTCTTGATGCCTCTTCAAGGAAGCCATGCATGGGCACATGCTGCTTCCACGACTCATGACCCAACCCTTTCCAAGTAACACCTCTGTGGATGATACCGCAACACCAGAATAATCTGGGAGCACTGGTGGGCATACAGAGTCCTGGGCCCTACCTAAGACCTAAGGGACCCAAACGCTGGCGATGAGGCCAAGAAACTTGTATAACACTCACCTCTAGTGATTCTGTTATATAGTCAGGTTAGGGGCCTGGCCCTAGACAAATGACTTAGAGCCTCTTTTTCCCCTGCCAAGGGGCACATAAGGAGGGACAGCAAGAGTAGAGAATAGGGATTTAACAACTGTCACCATTTCCTCCATGGATATAATCTTTGTCCTTGCAGAGCATACAGTTTACTTTGGATTAGAAGCCACATGTGTTCCTGCAGAAGGACAGAGTATGATTACAAAGAAAGAGAACCTGGCACACCTGGCTGCTCCAGTGACCTACCATATTAAATACACCTGTCTTAGTCTGGAGTCCCTCACAAACAGACCCTGGAAAAGCTTCCAAAGGAGAGGCTGAAAAAGAGTCGGGGCAAGGCAGGTGGTAAAAGGGAAAGGAGGCAGCTGGTGATGGACATGTGCTGACCTACATACCACTGTGGGCAACTGGGACTCATTCATCCCCACGGGGAAAATCTGAGAAATGGTATAAAACTTGGAGCTTAGAGTCAGCCTACCCAGGGACAACAGTTCTGGTATATTTCCATAGCGACTCCTGCAGTCGGTAAGTTTGGGGAAAAAACTTGGGCAGAGCTACGCAGGTACTGGCAGCTGCAATTATGACAGCAGACTGAAGGTGCATGGGGGGCCTGCCACGACGCCTCCAGGGGCCACCAGGGTCACTGTCTTCCCTCACTGACACTCCAAACTGAAATCTATGGACGATCTTTTGCTTCATCCAGGTTAAAGCTATCTACGATTTTGTAACTGAAACTGTAAAAGACAGAATTTGACAGTTTGCTCTTTCCAGAAAAAGAAAAATACTTAGAATTTTGTTCCATCATGTTTTCCTTAGTCACTCGATATATATTTCTATATATTCATATATATGTATCTATATTTATGTATCAGAGTCTGAATGATTTTACTCACCATCTTTATCTGAAAGTAGGGTATTAAACTATTTTATGTTCCTTTTGAATTTTACAAGTCTCCTATCAGAACCTTTGTAGGTATTTCCTCCCTTTGTCTCCCACTGAAAACTCTAGTTCCTCTCCTTATGTGAGAATCATTTAACCAGTGAAACGCTGAGCCAAAAAAGAGACGAAAACAGTGCTTAATTACAATGTACCTGCCAGCTAAAAACAAATTAGGAATTATGTCTAATGGGAGAAGACTCCCAAATCCCCTAGGATGAAGTTAAATATGATTAAAGACAAATCATGGGAAATTTCAAAGCTCTGCCTGGTCTTAAATTGGCTCTGTAATCTTCCCCTGATGCCACGTACCAGGGCACGTCCACGTCACAAGACAAAGCGTCCTTGGAGGCCCTCACTCCTCCTGGCCCGCAGAAGCACACTTGCCATGCTGAGCAGGGACAATGTCACTGCATTTTATCCACTGCTCCCTCCTAATGAAATGCTCCCACATGCACATGCGAGTCATTCTGCTCACAATGCACTGGTGATAGATGGTTCTAAGTCTTTCTCAGGGAACAATAATTTACAGCCAGCGGGAGAGTTAGGCTGAAATCAGGTGCACATGCTCCTGAATGTGACATAATTTGACAGTAAGCTGTGAGGGAAATCTGGTTTCGAATTATGCATTTGGCTTGCACTTGCGGTTGGGGTGCAGTTACAGGAATTAACTCTGGAAAGAGCACCTCTTTATTTAACAGTATCTATTACAAGAAGGAAATGCCTTGTTCAAATGAATCACTTAAGGATCTTTAAACTCTGTCAGTCTTTCAATTGTGAAACCTGGGAAAGGTAGGATGATTTTGAGAACTAAGAATGGCACGGATGAGCTTTAAGGTTTTTACCCTTCCTTTACCTCTGGTTATTTTTAGTATATATTTGACTAGGTTACAGTTTTAACATTTTTTGTAACTTCTGTCTCTCCTTTGTAAGTTAACCGCCTAAATACTGACCTGAGGTAGGAATTACGGTGAAGAAAATCTAATGTCAAAAATTAAATAGCCTTAAAAAAAATTGTTTAAGTCATTTATTTTAGGCCTTGTTAGTCGGTGGTCAAAGTCACAATAGGATCCCAAATCCGAGATTCCTAGAACTGTGTTCTTTTCTTCACAAGCTCTAAGATTGTCCATTCTAGGCTACCGAGGGAAGGCTGGAACAGGATCGAAGGCCACAGGCTGGGATTTACCTAAGAACGCATTTCTCTCCCACTCCCCCGGGGACACACCACCTGGGAGGTTGAACACTGGCTCCAGCTCCGCAGGCCGCTCCAGCCGAGCCCCTCGGCGGTGACACTGCCCTCCCACAGCCTCTCATGGCTTCTCGTCACCCGCAGAGGAAGACCCAACCTTTTTACAAAGCCTGATCTGACCCCGGACAGAGGCAGTTTAAAACTCACTGCTGAGGATTTTAAGGCAATAAAAAACAACAACAACAACAGTTGTACTCCTTCCCATCACAGAATCCGTACAGCCTTGAAATGAAACGAGCTGGGTGGGATTCTCTGCAGAGCATCACTTTGGAAACTCTCATCACCATTTCTCAAAATAATAGTTGTCTTGCTGTGGTCATAAAATGTATTTGTAGCACAAGTTCTAGATTTCTAGATTTTTACACACAAGCCAATTGCACCTGAATCTGAACACTGAGATTCCCAAAAGAAAAACACTCTTAAAAACAATCATCACCAAGTATTGAAGACCTTCCATGGACTCAGGGATTTTTCAGGAGACTAGATAGGGGAAAAAATGAGCCTATCAGGTCCATTACTACAGGGTGGCTCTGGTATGACAACGCAGCTTCCAACGGGGTGTAGATGCACTTGAGTTATCGTTACCTTGTCCAAGAAAGTATTTCCATCCTTTAGGGACCAGCCAGGAAGATTAGACAGCCGGGGACTGCAAAACAAAAGATTAATTATCCTAAATAGATTATAATTCTCAGTGATTTCACAGTGACTGTACTGTCTCCATAAAGTTAAAAACAGTTTGAAATTACTGGAAGCAGTGCTCACCCAAAACGCTAATCAAAAACATGAAAAATAACCATGTTGTATAAAGTTTGAAAATATGTACCAACAGAACAAAAAGCCAAATAGTTTATGAAGTTGGGGAAATTGAAAGAACGCTATGCAGAATAATGAAGAGAAAAAGAATGACGAGACACTCAGAAACCACTTTCTAGCCTTCCAACTACCCCTGGACTTCACCTTGCTTGTGTCTGACAACAAGCCTGGAGGGAAGGCCAAATGGCACCATCATACTGGGGATGAGACAGCAGACTCAAGACAGGGGCAGATGCCCTGCCTCAGCCAGGACTCACTACAAATAAAAACACCTCAGTTCTAGTCAAGTCCACATTCTGGACTCACTGCTTACAGGATGGATTAGTCACTTGTCATTTGGTGGCTTGAGCTTCCACTTGTGAAAAACGAAGTAGTTTTTCTAAGTGTTACAAAGTGACAGCATTATCTAAGTGAATAATTCCTGGAAGGTGAGGTTAATTTCACGTATGTGTCTCACACCAAAAGAGTCTGGACTCAGAAATCATTCATTCTCGTAATCTCAGATTTGAACTGTGTGCCTTATTATTTAACCAGAAGAATTATACCGGAGGCGGAAAGGCAAGTAATTCAGGAGAAAAAAAAATGCTGGTAAGAAGAAAACTTAATGACCTAAGTGATGTGTGAAGAAAAGCACTTCCTTAGGAGTACAAGTTGGATGGCAAAGGGTAGCACTTCACCACAAAATGAGTGTGTAAAGTCAAAATTAAGGGCAGAGTAAGGGTGTGGGACTAAAATACTCTATAATCAGAAACCAAATTAAATACTCCCTTATCCTTTTGCCAAAATAATTTTATCAAATTCTGACTTTGTAACTAACTAGGTGATAGGTACAAATGACATACAGAAACATAAATATGTGAGTATCTGTCAATCTTCTAGAAAAGGTTAAAAACCTGAATAAAATGTACATGTATCTATTTTTAGGGAAAAAGTGAGAATTTGGGGGGTAACTTTTAATTTTGACATAATTCCAAACTTATAGAAAAGGATGTAAATGCAGTGAAGTCCCACACTCCCTTTGTTGACATTCTGTTTACATTGTCTTTATTAATAAAAAAGTGAGAATTTTGGATTTAATACTTAAGAATGAAAATTACTACTTAGAGAATCAAATTTGGTTGTATATATTATATCTGATTAACTTTTTCTTTCTTTTTTTAAACTGTGAGTTTTCTGCTTTAACCTCTCAGAAAAACATTCTACCATCATTAGCTATTTAATTTCCATCTCATTTCATAGTCACATACACGTTTTCACTTACAGATTTCTTGCTTCTCGAAAAATATATTTTACTAGAAGATCAGATTATAAAACCAAGCATTCTAATAAAAGTGTAAAGACAAGATAATGTGAATACTGTTCTCATTTCATGCCCACTCGAAGAAGGTGGTATATATCCATGTCCCTTTACAAAAAGAACCAGGTCAAAAAGGACATGCATCCTGTATGTTCCACACTGGACACACAAGAATCAGCCTTCAAATTACAGATGCCTGATTCACTTAGTTGTCTTCAACAAATGATGAGACATTGTACACTGCTTATCAGAGAATAATTTTTTTAAAAGTAAAATTATCAGGTATTGTGGTTTTAATTTTTGCTGAACATTAAAAAAAATAACATCAAAGCTTTGTATGAAACACCTGTAGGTATCCTTGATTTGAGAAATTGTTAGTGGATGGGACTGAAAGCTCAGAGAGCAGGATAATGCTGTAACAATAGGGCCAAAGATGAAGGGCCAGAGCAATGTGTCACCGAATGGCAGAGGGATGCTGATTATGGAGACGAAAAGAATTTGGTTACTGAGTTCCAGTGAGTTAATAACTGAACCAGAAAGAGTTAGTAAACTTTAAGCTATCAAGAAGAGGCTTATTATTTTGCACCTAATTATTACAAGATTTGACACTAAGTTTCTTAAACATGGAAACAGAAGTCTCTCCATAGAATTCTACTTTAATAAGATATGAAAGGTAAAGATATTAGAAAAGTTATGATTATAGATGACAGATCTTTGATTCCACTACTTAACAATTTTCTAGAAAAGAAGGATGCCATTAAAAAAAGTTATAGTCAAGAAAAAATTTAAGTGCACAAAATTTTTTTGTTGTATTTATTTAAAAAGGCAAAATATTCCCATAGGTAAATAAGGCCTTTAAATATATCTATCATCTAGAAAAATAATACAGGTAGAATGAACAGAATATGCAGTTTATTTTCTCTTCTCACTTTCCATTTTTCCCATTTCCTATTTTGAAATGTATTACTTTTGTAATTAGAAAATAATAAGGAAAAGAGGCATGACTACATTCACTCATTCAAAAAATGTAAAAGCTTACTTTGAGCAACATACGCAAAGTGCAGGGATATGAGAGTAAATAAAATAATCCTTGGGTCTGAGGAGTCTGCACTCCAGCACAGGCAGACAGTGAACAGCAGTTACAATAGAATAAAGTGATGGGTGGCAGCAGGCGTTGTGGGTTCACACAGAACGGGCACTTCTGACAGCGTGGTGTGGGAGCAGAGAGTAGGAGTGAGGAGGTAATGACGGGCCAGGTCCTTCCATGAGGAGCGACCAGGAAACAGCCTCATCATTTGGTGTAGGAGACTGACGGGTCCACCTTCACTCACTCATTAATATATCTTTATTTATGTGTTAAGCCCTCAGGTGCTGGCAATGTGACTGTGAACAAATATACCTGTTCTCCTGAAGGGGGTAGGGAAGCCAGACACATCAAATAATCACAGAAACAGGGAAGAAGATGTCCAAAATGATGAAGCAGTAGAGTACAAAGCACCACAAAGTCCCCTAAGGAGGGACTGGTCTAGGCAGCATCAAAAGATTCTCAGGGTCTAAGATGACTGAGCTGAGATCTGCCCAGCAGTAGAATCAAGGCAAAACTGGGACAAGGGGCAGGGTTTGGAGGGAAAGAGAAGGAGGACAGCTACAGGGCCCAGCACATCTCTCCAGCCAATCGCACCAGACTTTGGCAGGGGCATCTTACATAAGAGGTTGTCCACAGGACATTTTAAGAAGGGACCCACACACTCCCCTTCCTCCGCCACCCAAAATGCCATCTCTGTGTCCTTCCTACTTGGAAGTGGAGGCACAAATGACCTGAGAGATGAGCTCCTGCAAAGCAGGCTACAGGAAAGTGGGATTGGGGGTTGGGGGCTGGAGAAGAGCCTCTGTGGCTGAAAGAACCACATGTGACAAGCAGGAGATGAGTTTCTTTGAAACCGAAAGAAAACAAAGGGCAAATATGAGAGGTAGAAGGCATAAAGCCTGATATACTAAGATTAACTTGGTATTTATCCTAAAAGCAAAGAAAAACCACTGAGCCATTTTGAACAGGTGAGAGACAAGATTAGAGAGCCATTTTGAATAGGTGAGAGACAAGATTAGATCTGTATTTCTAAAAGGTGATTCTGGAGAGAACTGACATCGTGCATCTTCTGATAATATATACCATCATTTGTGTGGTACTTTTACCAAAAGAACCCCAATCTAATCGGGAGGAAACATTATACATACCCAAATTGAAAGATGTTATATAAAATAGCCTGTCTGCCTAAAAATGACAAGGTCATAAAAGAGGCTTTGACAACAAATGCAATGTGTGACCTAGACTGGATCCTGGACCAGTATCGCTATTTTTCTTTTTTGCTACAAAAGGGATTATAGTGAAATACAAATGGGTGTTAACTTGGAAAATACTAATAAGGTTTTTGGCTTGGGTACTAGCTTACTGTCAAGTGCCAGTTTCCTAATTTTGATCATTGTACTGTGGTTATGTAAGAGAATGTCCTTCATAAAAAAAATGGCACACAAGTGATTAGGTGGTAAATGGGCATTATGTCCATATCTTTTCAATAGGTCAGAAAAAATTATATGCATATGAAGAAAGAGAAAATGATAGAGCAAATGTGATAAAATATTAATAATTGGTAAGGGTAATTAGGAGTTGTTTGTATATTCTTGTAATTTTTCTATGAATCAAATTATTTCAGAATAAGATATGCAAAAAGATGGCTTTGGATTCAGACGGGGTGAGATCAGAGTTGAAGAAACTGGTTAGAAGACTTTATCAGTAATGCTTGTAAAGATGATAGTGACTGGATTCTAGAGCTGTTTAGAAGGTAAAACCTGCAGCGCTTAATGAAAGATTGGATATGGGGAGCAAGGAAAGGGGCATATGTAAGGTCGGTGCTAGTTTTCTGGCCTTTATATGACAAGATGTCACTCCCTAGTACAGGGTACCATCGGGGAAAACCAGGACTGGGAGACTCTGCCCTCCTCTTCCGGACCACGTCCACTTATGAACTCATTGGGCACGTTGAGTTTTGATGTACCTTCCAAAGCACATCCAAAGAAACTCAGTAAGCATCTGAATGTATAATCTTGAACTCAGAAGAGATTAGTAACTAAAGATACATATTTGAAAGTTATTGTTTGGATGGTTATTAAAGCCCTGAGCATTAATTAAATGCCCTTCGTGGAGATACTGATGGCCAGCCACTGGATGCTGTAGAATTCTGGTAAGTGATGGCCAGTTAGAGGAAAATGAATTTCCGAAGCAGACAGACGAGGAAGAGTCAGAGAAGCACAGGAAAACCAGGAGCGTGTTCTCAAGGAGGAGAGCGCAGCTGGGCGGCCAGGCAGATGAGGGCTGACGGACGTGCATCGTGGCTAATGGCGTGGAAGTCACTTGGGACTTTAGCAGGAGGTGTTCTGGCAGGTGGTGTGGGCAAAGCACAGACTGGAGAGGAGTTGGGAATGCTCCAGGGGAAAGTGGAGTCAAGACAAGGTTAAAATTTTAAGTTAGAAGTGATGGAGTGTAACTAAATAGGAAGAACTGAGTCAAAATGGAAAGGTACATGGGAACATAAAGATTATAATTAATAGCAAAATGACTCTCAGAAAGTAAGAAGGGTGGGATAAAGGGTTTCATTCATATGATAAATATTTATTGAGTAGCTACTACATGCCAAGAACTAGTAGGTCCTGGGAATACAGTAGGGAACAAACAACATCCCTGCCCTTATAACTTATCGTTTTAGGGGAGAAGGAAGACAATATACAAACTAAATATGTATATATAATGTAATGATAAGACAATATATAAACTAAATATGTATATACAATGTAATGATAAAGATATAATGTAATGATAAAGAAAGACAATATATAAACTAAATATGTATATATAATGTAATGATAAGTGCTATGAGGAAAAATAAAGCAGGAATAAGAGAGAGGGAGGGACTGGGTACTAATGTAGCCACTGTATCTCCAATGTTTCTGGCCTGAGTAAAGAAGACACTTTTTGAAGGAACCCCAGGGGCTGCGAATCATCCCACGATACAACCTCCCTCTGAGAAAAACAATGCCAAGGGGCCGAGAGAGTGGAAGTGGACTGCGATGCTGACCCAGGGCCGTGAGAATACTGAAGTAGGAAGAGACAAGAATGAATGGGAAAGGGGAAAACAGGTAGCTAGCACTGTCTAACACTCAGGTTAACACCTAGGCAACTCATGGCCCACAGAGCATGCAGGCCCCCTGTGGAAGCCCTCACAGGACCTTGTATTTTACTGCCAGTAATTATCACCAGTATATTGTTGTTTTCTTAACTCAATGAAATAATGAAATCTTAAAATCGTTTTCTCTGACAGACTATAAACTCCATGAGGAAAGGAAAATTATCTTGGTCAGGTCTGTATCCCCTGGTCCACCACAGTGCAGACTCTTAATAAACACCAAATGAATGAACACACTTTAATTTTGGGGGTAAAAAGACAATACCATCAGGCTATTTTAATAAGAAATAACCTGTCAAGTCATTTCTGTTGAGAAATGTAGGTGGTGTCTATAGTTCCTGAACCACATGCACAAATGTATAAATATTCTCTTCTGGACAATATCTGTGGATGGTAAATGTATTTCTAAGTGCTTCATGTGATTACAATTGAATTTTCTCAGGTTTGCATAAAATGTAATATGTAATTATTTTTGACCTTGCTCCCATCACCTTATTGTATCCCTTATCTCAGAAAAAAATCAATGGTTTTGATTTTTAATTATACTTTTTCTAGATGGTTCATTGGGCTGTCATTATGAATCATCACCACACACAATGACGTCTTCGGGAGTGAATGAGACGCGTTAGAAGGTTCAACTAGCTTGTTCTGCTTTTAAGCTCTTAAACCTGCTGTGGACAGCTTTTCTGTCTCCCTTCTTGTACGCTGTATCACTTTCTGCTCCTCGAAGTATACCTGCTTCTAAAAGTTTCCCACTTCTCTAATTAACTGCTGCTTCTAAATGACAGTAAGCTGGGAAACCAATTTCCTAGACAAGGTTTTAGTAGGGGTAAACAGTGCTGACTGTAGGCCTGGGGAACTCTATCTGCTTTTAGACATAAGTGTTGGCTTCATATATGATTCTGTGATGTCTACAGCTGACTAGTATGAAAATAACACACACATAACTATCAAAAAGAAACATCAGGGAATGATACAGAGATTAGCATGGTCCCTGCACAAGGATGACACACACATTTGTGCAAAGGTCCATATTTAAAAAAAATAAAAAAAAAGAAACGTCAGGCTCTATGATGTAAAGTACCTGCAAAGGCAGTTAAATTATTCTAAAATTCAATTCTTGGGCTCATCAGTTGACCATTTATAAACTCTTATATGAATTAGCAAGAAAGATGAAATATATATGACCTCACTTGCACTAAGCAGTTGCAGGAACATTTTACAGCTCAGAAGAAGTTATAATAAAGAAGCCAATCAATAAATCAATACAACACTTTCCATCACCCCAGCCAAAGGGAATTATTCTGATGAAGAACATTTTTAAGGGAACAAACTTAGTACAACACACAAAGTACTGGTAATCTTAATGCTAAGGGGTACCATTTGCCAGCAAGCTAAATTTCATTTTTTCTCAGATTCACCAGCACATACCTTTGAACAAGTGGCAAAGGAAGGAAATTGAGGGTGGAAGTCATGTCCAGTCCGCAGTCCAACATAATGGTGGTTGATTTGAATTTGAGCACATTGCATGGTAAGGTTGGGTGCCCCGAAAGGCAATACTGAAAAAAATGAAATCACTTTTATCAATAATCAATTACAGAAAAAGTCTAAAAAATATAGCGAATTAAGTAAAACTGATCTTCCTCTCTCATCGGAATAGTCTGTGAATACAGTTCACTTTTTGTGTGACTTTCTTCCCTTTACAGCTCTGGCTACCACGTACCTGAGCAGTTCAAAATACTCAAAAGTCTCAGACATAGGCTACCAAGCTGTAGCTCAGGCAAGCAGTTTTGGAAGGGCCAAAGTTACTCCAAATAGAAGGTTTCTGGGCTATAGTTGCGGTTATAGATATATAGTTTGCACAGTCCCAGGCTCCACTCTCACATGAAACTCCAAATTCCCACTATTCCATTGCATCTAAGTACTGCCTAAAGCTGTGGAAGTCAAATTCTACACTGGATCCTCAAACTGTGCGCAGGATAGGTTTTTGTTCTGTAAAGAAGTCAAGTGACTTCCTCACTTGGGAAGTGTTGGGAAGGGTTAACAAACAAGCATCAGTCAGGGGTTATGGCTCAGCCTGGTCAGAGGAAATGACTCAAAAGGAGAAGTGACTTCTCTGATGTGCACACACCAAGCAGGATGAGGGACACCTACTCCCAGCCAATCAAGAGTTCCTCACCTGTGGCACCAGACCTCAGAAGTTAAAGGGGCAGAAACCACAGTGGTGTGTTCAGAGGAGAGAGAGGAGGCAAGACAACACACTGACCCCAAACATTTCTCACATCCTCCTCAATGTAGTGGGGATGACAGATAAGCCACACTGGAAATTATTTATAGGGGCTGTACCCTGTCACCATTCAGAATTCTGCTGCTCTGAGGAAAAGAAACAAAAGAAGGTAAGGACTGTTTCCCCCATCTTTACAGTCATTCCGTGGAGGCCTCCCTTGAACAGCAAAGCCCAGACAATGGAGGGATGTTCTTTACCCCATGACAAGTACATTCTTTCTGAGTTAGGGTAACTCGACATGAATGCCTGGCCTCACGTGGCCACAGCAGCTCAGGTGGCGTTTCCAGGTATTTGTTGCCCTGCTGGTTCTGTCACTGGATCGATTTCCTCCTTTTCTGCAGAGGATACTACAAGGGGCTGATGATTTTTTAAAACCGCATGTTCTCAAAATGGTAAGAGCAAGAGCCAAGAAATGGTGGGCGTTTTGCAAGCTTCTTTATGCCAAGTTTATGTTATTATATTTTTCAAATCAGAATTCACAACTCACAGTCTAATATGGTATAAGTTTATAACAAAAACAGTACAAATTATTTAAAATTGTTAATTATACTAAAAAAATTCCAGGAAGCATGAGTTGTGTTAATATACTTTACAGAAGTTCATTCTTTGATAGGTATCAGAATTACAGAAAAAAAATATTCTACTAAGGAAGGCAGAGATACCTCTACCCCACTTTCCATCCTGCCAGCTTAGTTTTTATCCCTTTCTAAGAATTATTTATTAAAGACAAATGTAAACTCTCAAAATGAACACCAAGTATCACGTCAAGCTTGTCCCAAACATACAAGCATCCTAGTTAAGAGCTTTCCTGTATCTCTCCTTTTAAAAAAAAACCAGATATTCAGAAAAACCTAAAAAGAAATAAAGTGAAATGTATATAATGGTCACTTCTGGGTGGAAAAGTTATAGTGTAGTTTTCTTCTTTCAGCTTTCTGTGTTTTCCTAATGTTCGACAACAAGCATTTACTGAATTTTTATGATCAGAAAAAAATGATTTTTTTCAGCCAGCCACACTGAATGGCAGCATCTTCATCTTTAAGTCTAAGTTATAGATAAAAAGTTACATCACAAGGAAGACTGACCTGTACAAGCTGCTGCTCAAAAGACATCAGGCAAAAAAAGTTAGCGGAAGACACTACATCTGCTCCTGTCATCCAAGGGTAAGGAAAGGAGAGGAACACTTTCAGAGGGCTGTTAAGTGAACGGAAGAAATGCTTTCAGAGCATCTCCTGAAGGAGTGGCCGATCGTGATCTCACCAGCTCCACGTGAATGGAGGAGGAATTGAGCTTTACACAGTTTGAGCGGCTCATCTGAGAAGAGCCACACAGGGCCCCTGGCCCCAAAGACCCCACTCCCGCTTCCCAAGCTGCACTCCCGTACTCCGTGGGCCAACTGAGTGTGCTAAGACACAGCGGGGGGCTGAGGCCCGCACACCGACGGGGTTCCCGCAGTTTGCCCGTCTCCAGGGATGCTCTTTGCATGTTTCTAATATGCTGCTGCAATCACCAGGCGGCGCATAATCCAGTGATTACCCGAAACATTACATATCATGGGGTTTTAAAATGAGTAATCAATCTGTATTACAAAAAGTTTGAAAAGGTAGAAAGAAAATTATTACCCACAGTCATTGTTCTATTCCCTCTTTTTCCATATTTGTAAAAGCTGATTTTAGAGCATGTACTGCTCTGTATGCTGCTTTAAAAACTCATGATGACTATGCTTTGTCTATGTTGCACCACACTCTATTTTTATTGGCTGCCTAGGTCAATATACCATCACTTGTTTAATGATTCCCTTACTGTAGAATATTTAGAGGCTCTTTCAATGGCTCAGTTACAAAAATGGCTGTCACGGTCACTTTAGTGCTTAAGGCTTTTTCCATATTCGACTATTTTAGAGGATTCCCAGAAGTGGCATTAACTAGGTCAAAAAATATGAGCATTTTATGGCTCTTGAACTATGCTGCCAAAATGGTTTCCAAAAAAGGCTGTACCGATTTACAATGTCATCAGTAATAGGTCAGAAGACCTGTTTCACTGCTTCTTTCTATCAACATATGGTCAAAACCATCTAGAATCTATACCAAAATGCACTTGTAATGTCAGTAGTATAACTATCTAGAAGCAATTAAATGGCCCTAAACAGGAAAAATCAACTACTTGAAATACGGATTTAATTTTGAGAGGCAGTTTGGAGAAATGATTTAAGGTTCAGAGTTTAAATAAGACTGTTCGGGCTCAAATCCTGGTTGCACTCATTATTAATGTGTGATTTTGACTTAACTTTGCAAAGAGTCAGCTTCCTCGCCTGTAAGTTGCAGTAGTAGAAGCTACCCTCCTCAGTGAATGAAGGACAAATGAATGGATACAGCACCTGACACATGGTATACGCCCACTGGTAACAGAATCATTAAGGGGCTGAAGAGACCACCTCAATTTGGGGTACCACCTAAGTTGACAGCATTATAGAGAAGAAATTTTATTCTTTAGTGGCATTCACTAATGCTTTAACACTTGTGTACCTCACAACAGTAGGTAAAGTGAGTGAGCAATTTTACAAATGCTGTCTACGCTAGCTTTCCCTTCAGGAAGATGCAGTCATTACTGAGGACAGATGTGAATATCTAGCCAATGTAAGGTTTTACAATTTAAAATCTTTTTCTGGCTTAACAAGCACATAGCAATGTTCTCATGTTAATTTTATTTCTATTTAGTAACAAAGCTACAGGGTCTTCTGTGTAATGACTTACTGTCTGTATTTCCTGTGTCCTGTATCTTTTTTACACTGAATGAATGGAATCTGGTTTCAGAACTCATATGTATTTAACATCTACAGAAGCATTGTTTATATTTTTTGATAAAATTGTTATCAGTTATGCTTAGTATATTATCTTTCCCATTCTGTTACTTTCATTAAAAAAAACCTTCTATTACAGAAAATTTCAAACATACAAGTAAGCAAAATTAGTATGATAAATCCCACTACTTAGGTTTAACACTATCCATATTCGGCCTCTCTTTTCTGATTTTCTTTTGATATTGACATGCTTCTGCAGAATAGCTATTACGATGACAAACTTACCTGCTCTCTGAAAATACCGTTTCTTAAATAGCCCTAGTTTAATCTCTTATCTACAATTGGGACAAAAACACGAGTCCATTTTCCTACATGTCCCAGCAAAATTCATTAAAAGTGGTTCCTGTCACCTTTAAGTTATTCTTGGTTTGTAACACCTTCCTGTTTGGTAATAATAGTTTGAAAATAATTCCAAGTCTCTATTTTTGTCCACTGGCTGTTACCATTTTTTTCATTTTACCCCCAAATAAATTATAATGACTACAATTCTAAAACACTACTTTTCCAATAATATATAAATGGAAACCACATTTAGTCTTAACTTAGGGAATTAACTTAGGGAATGTGACCATTTTTACTACACAGTAATATTTCTCTGAGCCAGGAACAATGCATTGTTTTCTACTTTTCTTCCTTTACAGTTTAAAATATTTTATGCCTTTGGTTCATAACCAACTATTCAATTATCACTGAATGTATCTTTGCTTTTCAGTTTCTACTTACTTTCTGCTCTAAGTTTATTGCTCTATTTTAAGTTTTATCTGATATAGTCTTCAAAATTCTGCCACTGCTGAGTACTGATTATGCATTCAGGCTACAAACACCTCTTAAGTGATGCTCTGGATGCATTTTATGAGTTCATATTGTTTTCAATGTTATGCATTTCTACATATTACGTAATTCCCCATGTGATTTTTTCTTTGAGCCATGAACTATCACGAAGTGTGTGTGAGTTATGTGTGTTTTATGTTTGGTTTAATTTTCAAATATACAGCAAGTAATAGTTATCTTTTAGTTCATGACCTCTAATTTTATTGAGGGCAGAGAACAGAATTTGTACATTAATTTTTGGCTGTTTACTGAAACTTGCTTTGTGATCCTACACCTTGTAAATAGTTGATTTTTTACAAATAATCCAGCATGCATAAAATTTTAAGTATGTAATCTAATTGTTGTATACAGAGTAGATCAAGTTTATTATCTTATTTAAGTTTCCCATATCCTATTTGAATCCCAGGAGAGAAACTTACCAATTTCTCTTTGTAATTTTATCAAATTTTGCTTCATATATTTTGAGAATAAACCAGCCATCTTAACTTCCTAGAAATCTTCTAAAGCAGTATGAATTACTACGTCATAAATAAATAAACCACAAGATTTGGTAAATTAGTATATTTTCTAAACTTGGCAATTTG